CTAATGAGTCAAAGGAAGACCCTTTGCAGAATTAGAGTCTACCATCCTATGGCTCCTGCAAACTAAAATTACTGCATCAAAGATGGAACTGAGTATTGAAAGAATAAGATAGAGAATATAGATAAAAATGAGTGGTTATTAGACAACAACAGATTTTGAGTTTGTATCTAGAAAGGATAAGCATTACAGAATAGTTTTTTCAATTGAGCATTACAACATGCAAAACCTCAACCAACTACTTAGGAAATTTCAGTTACCTGCAAAGTTCTCCTTCTCCTCATCTGAAAGCAACTGCTTTTTTTGTGAATGAAAGTTTTGTAGAGCAGTTTCCAACATTTCTAGAGGAACAGCTGAGCACTCCACAGCTTTCTGAAGCAGCTGCTTACACTTCTTCATATTTCCTAAGTAGTAAGTAACACAGAAACAGAAATCAAGGAAATAAAGTTACACTGGGGAAACATGGTATTTTTTTTAAAGACATGATTACACTTACGCTGTCTTATATTCACATTGAATCGTTCTGCAAAGCCATTGGTAATTAGACTCTTCCTCCCCTTAAAGACCAGGATACTGCCTGGAACTAGTTACAAGTGAATCATGTAAGTCAATTTTTGACATGAAGTTGAAAACCAGGTCAAAATATGCTTGTATTGGGTTTGTGTGGCAAGGTTTTGATAGCAGACGGGCTACAAAGGTGTCTTCTGTGAGAAGATGCTAGAAGCTTCCCCTGTGTCCAATAGAGCCGATGCCAGCCAGCTCCAAGATGGACCTGCCACTGGCCAAGACCATCAGCAACAGTGCTAGCACCTCTGTGATAACATATTTAAGAAGGGGGGAAAAAAAACTGCTGTGGAAACAGCAGTGGACAGAGGAGTGAGAACATGTGAAAGAAACAACTCTGCAGATATCAAGGTCAGGGAAGAAGGAGGGGGAGGTGGTGCTCCACATGCCAGAACAGAGATTCCCCTGCAGCCCCTGGTGAAGATCATGGTGAGGCAGGCTGCCTCCGTACAGCCCGTGAAGGTTAACGGTGGAGCAGAGATCCACCTGCAGCCTGTGGAGGACCCCACACCGGAGCAGGTGGATGCTCAAAGGCAGCTATGACCCCATGGGAAGCCCATGCTGCAGCAGGCTCCTGGCAGGACCTGTGGACCCCTGGAGAGAGAGAAGTCCACGCTGGAGCAGGTTTCCTGGAAGGATTTGTGACCCCATGGGGGATCCATGCTGGAACAGTCTGTTCCAGAAGGACTGCACCCTCTGGAAGGGACCCATTCTGGAGCAGTTGATGAAGAACTGTAGCCTGTGGGAAGTTCATGGAGAACTGTCTCCCATGGGAGGGATCCTGTGCTGCAGCAGGGGAAGAGTGTGAGAAGTCCTTCCCCAATGAGGAAGAAGCAGCAGAAACATGGGATGAACTGACCACAACCCCTATTCCCTGTCCCCTGTGCCACTGGCTCGGGAGGAGGCAGAGAACTCAGGAGTAAACTTAAGCCCAGGAAGATGAGAGGAGTGGGGGGGAAGGTGTTTAAGATTTAGTTTTTATTTCTCACTATCCTACTTTGATTTCATTGGTAATAAATCATTTTTTTTCCTCAAGTCAGGTCTGTTTTGCCCATGATGGTAATTGGAGGAGATTGACTGGATCTCTCCCTGTCCTTATCTTGGCCCACAAGCCTTTTGATATATTTTATCTCCCCTGTCCAGTTGAGGAGGGAAGTGAGAGAGCAGCTTTGATGGGCACCTGGCAAGCAGCCAGGGCTAACCCACCACAATGCTTTATGAAGTTACAAAACTGCATTCTCAACATTTGTTTAGTGTTATAAGAACTGTAAGAAAGTACAAAACAAATTCTAAAATTCAGGGTTTTTTCTGTAGTATCAGCAATGACAGAAGAGCTTTATAGACTTTCATTTAGATCTGACCAGATACAAACTTTATTATGCATGCATTATGAAACATCTTTAATGCACTTAATAGAAATCAAAGATCAAAGCAGCTGTTAAATCAAACATCACTACTGCAGAAAGCACTACAGTTAAGAGGAGTGAAAAGGAAGAATATCGTTTCACTACAGTTTTACACATTACTAAATGCCATAAACAGGGATTGAAGAGAACTGGGGGGGAAGAGGATGTGTTTTAACAAAACATATTGGAAGCAATCAGTTTACATATACAAGCACATACACATACAGCTATTAAAAATAACCATAAGAGTCAAATACAGAAAGAAGTTTACTGCAACCAAAACCTTTTCCTTGGTTTACAGAGCATCAGGGCAAAATGATGCAGTGTTTTGTTACAGCCGTTAATGCCCTTGAAGTCCTAAATGCCCTTGTTCCTCTGTTGCAAAGCAGCAAAACGTAAACCACTTTGTTTTTATAGGTGCCACATATATATATATAATTATTTCTTACAGTATATAATAGATTTCATAGATTTTCTGGGTTGGAAAAGACCTTAGAGATCATCCAGTCCAACCGTCCCTAATCTCCCATTAAACCATTCCCTAAGTAGTTCATTCACCCTTTTCTTAAATACATCCAGGGATGGGGACTCAACCACCTCTCTGGGCAGCCTAAATAGTATCTTTCAGAGCTCCATGATGTTTCCAGCACTCAAAACTCCACTGACAACTGAAGTTAGAGGTCAGTGTCACCTGCAGTTCAGACTAGGGGGGAGTGGGGTATATATATTAGGAACTTATGTGTAAGTAATCTATTTTAAGAATATTAAATGGGCGATGTTGGACACTGAAGGAAGGAAATACCAAAATAAGATTGGCTGTGATTTCATTTAAATCTGTTTTGTGAATATTTGTTGTGCCTTGTTTTTTAACCATATAATCAAACACTTTTTTTCTCCCAAACCCTTAGCAAGTGGGTAGGCTTAGTATTTTTAAGACTCATTAACGAGCATTCTGCCTTTGGCTATATTTAGTAACCACACATTGCTTCAACAAGACCTGCTACTCAAAAGGAAAGTTCAAAACGAAAGTAATTCCTCATAGCATTATGTGCCTCATTGAACAAGAAATAACATGACACCAAAACACCTATGTGAAAAATGAACTGCTCCATCCCCCTTAACAAATGAGGAACCAAGGCACTAAAGTAAAGCCAGAAGTATCTGCAAGTTTCAGTCAGTCCACTCCATCACATACAAAAAGCCTGAATGATCCACCTAAGCATAGCATTTTATGTAGCCAAAAGTAGAGTTTTATTTATAGTCATGAGTTCCAAACAATTCACAGCAAATCTTGCTTCAAGCACACTACCTAAGGCACACCAAAAGTAAGGGACAGCTTCTTATCTGACCTATTTAAATTAAGCTGTATTTAGCATTTAAATGAAACCAAAACAGAATGTTACCTTTTTTGCCTCACTCCATTTTCAGGTCACGAATATTCAATTTATAATGAAATCAATATCAATTTGCCAACTGTAATTTCAGAATTTTGACTTGAGCTTTAGCTCACAATTTTGCTCAAGACAGGGAAGTGAGTGTATAATTAACTTTTTCTTCTTAATGCAAAGGGAAAGACAGATTAATCCAAAAGCAATTGGCAGGTGTGCCAAAGCACTGCTGAAATCACTGGGATGAGGAGGTAACAAAGCACTACCCTCCTCCTTTCCCTCTGGCCTAAGCTGGACACAATGAAAGTCACAGATATGCACATTTTTGTTCTCTCCTCCTCACTCCGCAAAGGAATTACATTCAGTATCGTTCCTCCCATCAATTATTTTACGTAGCATGTATTTCTGAGGGGGATTATCACAGCCTTTCCTGCTCCATTACAAATAAACTTATTAGTTAAGAAAAATTGGAAAATCTGAGAAGACAAATGAGTATTTACTTCTTGATTTTAACAAAATGGCTCTGCTTCATGAGACACACTTTGAGTATCTAAACTATATCCTAAAATACAGTAAAACCACAAGTTTTTTCTGGACTGAAAGTTTTTTCCACAGGCAGTGGTTTTGTCTATAAACAATGGAAGTAAGCATAAAGAGGAATATCTAGTAACATTATTCAGAATCCAGAATGTAGAACAGAGTTTAAACTTGTTTAATTACTTATTGTAGTTAATTTTGGGGAGAATTTCTTGTACTAGGCAGATTGCATGATACTGACAAAAACCATGAAAAAAAACAAACCACAAAAAAACTCAAAATATATCCACCAAAGATTTTTTTTTCAAATAAGAAAATAGTTTTAACACAACCTCCTTGTCCTTCTGGATGGAGCAAGCTGCTAAAGGGAGGAGACAAACAGGGTGATAGAAATCACTGCTCAAGTCACCCACAGAAAAAAGATTTAAAGACGACTCAAAAATACGAGTCTATGGGTAGGCAGCACAAACCTGCTACTAAGTACCAGGGCCACCTCCCCTAAACACACAACAGGAATGAAGTGACATGACAAGTCAAGGTGAACTTAGTGGATTAACTGCCCTAAATACTGAGGACCTATTGTTCTAGACATATTACAGCATAATTTATATAGTCTCAAATAGTCTAGAGGGAGAACTGGAAGAGTAAAAGCAAAAAAACCCACTCATAGATAAAGAGTATAATAAGTGAAAGAAAAAGAAAAAAAGAACAACCTAAGCAGTACAAAGGCAATTGTGCATCACTTCCTACCAGAAGACTGATGCCCAGCCAGTTTCCAAGCAAATGCTACTATGGAAAGACTATCCCTCAGTTTTTTATTACTGAGTATGCTATATGGCATGGAATATCCCTTTGGTCAATTGGGATCAGCTGTCCCAGCTGCACCCCCTGCCAATCTCTTGCCCACCCCCAACCTTTGGTCAGAGGAGAGGCCAAACAAGAAAGAAATCCTTGACGCTGCACAAGCACTGTTCAGCAACAGCTAAAATATTGGTGTGTTACCAACACTGTTTCAGTCACAAATCTAAAATGCAGCAACATATGAGCTGCTAAGAAAACTAACTCCACCCAAGCCAGATCCAGTACACCAAGGAAGGGGATAAATTAATTCAGAAATTTTGCTCTCAGTGCAACTATCCCTACTAGGGACAGACAATTCAGGCATTCCTTAAAGAAGGGGACCAGACTTTTAAAAAAAAAGACATTATCACTCTCATCAGAATGGATTATCTAAAACACTTCAGTATGGTACCATATCACAAAGATTACCACTGCATTTAGAATACCAACAAAACTCTTCCCTCCTCCCCTCCCCATCTGACTGGAACATGGCATCTATGATACCAAAAAAAACAGTCCATGGCAATTATGAAGCAATAGAAGATTGCTGAGCAACCTGATCTAGTTGGAGACATCCCTGTTCCTTGCAGGGGGGTTGGACTAGATGACCTTTGAAGGTCCCTTCCAGCCCTAACGATTCTATGATTCTATAAGATACCATCCATCTCCACTGTTCCAACATGAACACTCAACAGTGGAACAAGAAACAGAAGAATCAATGAAAACCCAATTGCTAGCTACTTAAAAACCTGAGCAGCAAGGGGGAAACTTAATTGGACCAAATTCCCCATTTACAGTGTATTTTGGTTTAATGAAAAACCACACAAAGAATCTACAGTTGTTTTTTGGAAGGAGCTAGAATTTCTTTCACAAGTAAGTTGAAAGTATCCAAAAGGAAATTACCACCCAAATTTGAGCAGCATTTGTCAACCCAGCAAGAGCCTTACTCGTATCTGCCACTGTAAGATCTCAGCATAAAAAAAACAACCAACAGAAATCACTCCCAATTTTCGTCTTGTTTGAAAGTTATTTCTAAAAAGGAAAAAACTTATTAACTGTGCACATATTTTTATTTAAAAAATGACCACTTACATTTTTGATAAACTTCAATCTAAAAAGAAAATCCAGAATTTTCTTTTTCCTGATTTAATACTTACCAGTTTCCTTGCAAATTATGTAACAGAGCAGAAGCTTAAAACAACAAAATCTAGAACACAGAACAGCAACAGTAAGTTTTTCTACACACCTTGTGATAGCTCAAACTGTGCAAAAGCCACATGCACAAAAGCAAATTTCTTGCAGTTCAGTTTGGCCAGATGAAATTGGTCCCGTGCCTCCTCTGGATCTTGAAGACTGTAAAGATAGCATAACAATAGTTACATTGTGGAAGCGAAGAATCTAACAAGGATCAAGTTTCATGTGCTTGGTGATGGCTTCAGATAATTCTGGAAAAGCAATCCATCTAAAGGCAAAGTTCTTCCTCTTCCTTAGAGCCATTAATAAAGCACAAATAACCAGAAAATCTTGAAAAGCTTATAATGAAAGATATCAAGCTGACCCTTTCCAAGAACCAGAATGTGCTCAAACCTGAAAAGAAAGATTGAGGACTCACTCTTTGTCACTACTCATATTATTCCTCAAAATATGTACGTATTTCCCCCACCTCAGAACACCAACTAACACCTTTCAGGCTATATGTTGACACCATCCAGAGAAAAATCTCCATTCTTTTAGATGCATCCACTCCTATACCACGGAGGTTGCAAGGCAAGGGGACAGGGAGGAGATTGCTTTAGAAATACCAAAAGTGGAAAAACATATCGTACTAATCAAGACAGAAGAAATATTCTATACAGTGTTAGTTATATCCTGCAGCAATACAGACACAAAGTTTCCAATCCATTACATTTAAGCAATACCGAACTCCAATATTGTGCTAGAGGTTCTGGGCTTTTCTACATTGAACAGCTTCAGCAGCTGCACTCGAATCGTCAGATTCCCTTAGCAGACATGCAGGTCACCAAAGAAAGTCGTTTCTGTTGGTACATCTGTAATACCATATCTGTAGAAAACTAGGACTTAAGAAGAGCATTTACCCAATAGGTACCTCTATCAAGAGTTCTATGGGAACATCAACTACTCACAAGATGTAGGGAATTCAGTCTGTTTTCCCCATACTCCTAGGCAACACAGTCTTATCAGTTAAACTTGGCAGCACAAGGTGGATTTAAGTCCATTTTCTGCAGCCACACTAGAAGCAGCAATGGCAAACATGGTATACTTCAAAAACGTAGATTGTGCCACAAAGTCTAGACATGGTACTTCATATTTAATAGTTTCTTTACTTTTACTAAATTTTAATCCTAGTTTTACATTCAGCCACAGATTGCTAAGTAGGACAACCAAGACGCTTGCGCACAGTACATCAATATTTAAACATTACACAGGATCTACAGCTTAAGTAAATACTTGCCAAGATAGAAAAGACCCAAATCTATAATACTATGAAATAATAAGCTAGTATCATGTTTCAATGGACTCTCTCCCCATTTTTAATGTTTAAAAAAAGAGTTCATAGAATCACAGAATAGTTTGGGTTGGAAGACCCAAGGTCATCTAGATGGACTAGATGACCTTTAAAGGTCATCTAGTCCAACTCCCAAAGTTCTTTTAAACACTTCTATTAGCAAAATCCACAATCAAAACTCAAAGTAATTTCATAGAATGGTTTGGGTTGGAAGGGACCTCAAAGATCATCTAGTTCCAATCCCCCTGCCATGGGCAGGGACATCCTCCACTACACCAGGTTGCTCAAAGTCTCATCCAACCTGGCCTTGAATGCTTCCAGGGATGGGAAGATTTCTTCCAGAATTCCACCCTGTTTCAACAGGTAAGCAAAGGTAGTACTTAAACGTGGGAATGGTAAAACATTTATGACAAAGGCTTAAAAAAATAACTACAGAAAATTACAACACAATGCTGAAGAGAACACACTTCCAGTAGAATTCTGTGGAATTAAGAATGAGAAAAGTCTCTATCATAGTTTAGACATGTTACTGGACTCAAGTAAATTTAATAAGCTCAGCTCTAATCATCCAAAGCAATAGGGCAGGCACAGAATAACCCGTCTGCAGGCAAAGTCAGACTAACACAAATTAAGCTGTAACACTTGAATTACATTAGCTTTCAAAAAGCATGTTGAAATTTAAGTTCCTGTAGAAAGCAGCAACAACTTGTACAGCAATACGCAGAACAAGACCTAACGTTAGCAACAGGCATCCAGTGCCACACACTTGGTGGCACTGTGCTACAGCCAGCAGTGATACATGGAAGCAGGCCTGGGACATTAATGTGCAATACAGATGCAGCTGGCTGTTCACCTTTGCCTGTTTCAGAGTACAGTCAAGGGTTCTTCAAACAACCTCAATATCATAATAGGTCAAAAGGTTTTGGCATGGTCAGACTGCAATTAGAGAAGAATGCCAGGACAAGATAAATTCAGTGCCAAGAATGACATAATCCAGCTTTGATCATAAGAAAACAGTGTTGATGCCAATAGACACTAAAATCTCAAACTGTTGTCCCTGCTTCTGAAGCATGTGATGATCTGACTTGCTTCTCCTGTTAGGTAGAACGTTTGAGAGAACACCAAACAGATCTCTACTGAAAAGCACCTTTCCTCTCCCATCAAAGGCAGTATCATCAGAACACCTATGTATCAAAGTGTTACTTCACTTGCAATTGCTACGAAAAAATAAATCAGAAGCACTGTAGGAAATTATGAGATGAGAGGATTTTCTTCAACAGAATCTAAAACTGAGCAGAGACAAAATATAGCACTAGACAAACTGACAACCAGGAACAGAAAAGGTGAGTATGAAACACCAGGGAAATCTCAAACATCAAGAAACTTATGAGTAATGAATGAACATGCCAAACAATAACCACTCACTGATTAATTAAATAATATTAATCTCTAAAAACTAAAGACAAGCAACATTACTGTTTTTAAAATGTGATCAGTGAAAAGTAATTCCATGTTCATGTATACAGTGATTACACCTGTAATTCATAAATGTAGTTTCATGCAAATAATTGACTTAATGTTATATGTCACTCAATGCAAAACCATTAACTTATAATAAATGATTAAGAACTGGCTAATCTCAGAGTAATTTTCAAATGGGGGAACATCATTTCAGGAGATATTTAGAGCAAAGTTCCATTAGGACTGATGTTATGTCCAATTTTGGTGGGTGCATTTAAGAGACATTTGGGAATGGGTTCTTCATAGTTTTTTAAAATAATTTTCATCAGCAAGTCAGGTAACATGACCGATGGTATTTGCCAATTAAAAACAAGGCAGAAAAAAAAAGAGCAGATCTGAACTACCAGTGAGCTAGGTAGATTCTACAGTAATGCTGGCTACCAAAGCAGAAGGTATTTTGGTATAGCTATAGAGCACATTTTAACCGTGAAACAGGATCGACTACCCTCCCAAGAAGGTCTCTAAAGGCTCTATTAACAGTGAAGCAACTAAAGATTCATGCATTCTAGCATTAACAGGCTACTGACGGGGCCTTCGGTTTTGCTCTCTGCAATACAATACAAAGAATAGTGAACACAGCTCTAGCATGCATTAAAAAGTACCCAACTTTAAAATCATGTTTTAAAGATCAAGTGGAAAGAGCTCCAAGAGTTTTCAAGTGATAAGGGAAGTACAAAATAATATTTCTAAATTTAAACTCCTACTGTATGTAATGAGATAACAGATGTGACTTGGTAACAGCATCCAATCACCATTTCAGAAAAGAATTTGCAAAAAGTATGAGCTAGAAGCCTGTGTTACACAATTTCTGCTCTGAGAAAAAGCAACTAACAAGCAACTTTGAACAAGAATGCCATCTCTCAGTATCTTTAAAGACAGGAGGTCTTTCTGGAAGATATGCTTTACTCCACTTATACAAAAACACCTTACCTCTTCAAGATACTAAGGATTCACAGCAGGTAATTATTCCCTCCTGCATGTTTCTCAACAGCAGATTCAACAGATTACTTCCATTGCATGCTTTTAGCAAACAGTGATGCAGCAAGTTCCAGGCAAATGACAGTACAGACAAAGAAGCAGACCACATCATAATGCAAGATCAAACCACCTGCCAAAAAGCCAAATGGGAGGACATACAAGAAACAAAAAAAGACTAGCTATATTCATGAGTAGACCACCTGCTCAATGAACTGTTAAGGCTTGCTGCAATGTTAAAATACAGCTCTTCATCAAAATATTCGCGGTCAAGAATGTTTCAAGTGACAAAAGAACTCCTTAAGAAAAAAAATATCAAATTATAACCCTGTCCCAATTATGTCTGAAAACATCTGAACAACCACACTGTTCGAATCCGGATTGAATAAAGCAATAAATGACCACAATCAAAACTAATTTCATAAGTATGAAAGTATAGAATTATGTTCTGAGACATTCTTCCTATCATAAGGCAGCTATTTAATGTAGCTGGGATGTATCTTTCCTAGCAAGGGAGAAAGCAGACAAGACAAGGATAGACCACTATGGTTTGACTAGATGGATTAGGTAATAGCAAATTGCCTGCCTAGTGGTCAAATCAGTTATAGAAGTCCACAGGAAATTAATCCTAATTTACAGCATACACAGTTGAATACACAGCTTATAGTTACCCAAAGTTACATTAGATTTTACCTATGCAACTTCTTTTGAGCTGAAATATAAACCTGAAGGAAAAAAAACAAGTCTCATGCTATTTCCCCGTGTACCTTACACACAGAACCCAGAAAAAAAGTGTCAATGTCTCTAAATCAAATAGCTCTGAACAGTCATGTTTATGAACATCTACAAAAGAATGCAAGTACTGTGCAGACAACAAACAAGCTCACTAGTCAAAGCCACTCAGTTTCAAGGAGACGACATGAAAATTCTGAATGATAAGTTTTATATTGAAAATTGAAAATTTATACTTACGCTTTCAACTCAGCAAATCTCACAAGGATGCGAGCATAGCTCTCATCTTGACTATGCTTTTCCGCAGGTAATGCAGTCACTGCCTGACTGTAACGACCAATCAGTCTATTCAGGTGGCTAACATCCATCTGAGGAATACCCTTTTTCTCTAGCCTAAGCAAAAAACACAGCCAATCTTCTGGATTATTTGTTGTCATCATTATTTGATTAACAGTTCCAGAGTTATCTGACAGAAAAACAACAAATGAGATTGATTAAAATTGCAGCAAACATGAACAGAAGAAACACTTTTGATAAGCTTCCATGTAAGACGACCAGTGATTTATTTATTTTTTTAACACAAGATCAGAGCAACGCAGTTAACTAAAGAAACAAGGAGAGATAAAATGTATTTTGTGGTCATTAATACTGCAGAAATGCTAAATCTTAAATCCTTTCAGTTAATGGTTCTTTCACTTTTAGCCTAGATTAAGATCAGTTGCATAAGTGGCAATAGGGTAACAAAACCATATACCTGTTGTATCAGCTGAGATTTTTGTACAGTTAAGTTCATCTGTGATATTGTCTTCATTTCTGTATTTGTTTTTCAAGTCTCTAACTCTATTCATGATTGAAGCAATTTGTGGCAATCCTCTTTCACTTAGGTCCTCCTCCTCCATCTGCAGACACAAGGTTGAAAGCCAGTGAAGTTACTGAAGAACCCTGTTGTAGCTCACCTTATAATCAGAATTACTATAGGAAAGTCCCTCATGTATATTTTGCAGATTAGTTTATTCTCAACCACGTTATGTAACATAAATATAATCTTGCAAGTTTAATAGACACACACAAGTGTTCTATTAAGCCTTTGCCAATGTAGTTATACAAGTAAACTTCTTAGCAGAAGCCAAATTAATGAGTAAAAGGAATCGGTACTTAACTGACTGCCCAAATACTACTCCGTGCTTCACAGTAGCTCTCTCCAATAGAGTATATCCAGTGTTTGAATAAAACGGGATGGGATACGTTGCCTGAAAAGCTACGAGTGCATTATACTAAATCACATCCTGAACCCGTAGATTCGGATGGCTAAGAGGCAGTCCTCCTCCTAGTCCTCCTCCTGCCACTTCTCTTGAATAAAGAGTAATGGAACAGGCATTTGTCAGACTTCATGGTGACCTGCCTCAGGGGCAAACCCCAACAGAAAACTACATAAGAGGGGCTGAGCTTTTATGTTTTTGCTTGACGTTTTTCCTGCTCTCTTAACTGCATCACCACATGGACAAGAGAAAGGAAAGGCAGGAAGGAAAGACTTTCACTTGATGACACCTGTAAGGCTAGGTTAGACAACCTTAGATGCATCATACCACACACAGCTCCTGTAAACATAAACATTTTTAATATGGAAAGAAAACTTGATATTATGCACTTGAAGTTTTAACAATATTATTTTTTCCATCACAGGTATAACTTACAGTAGACATAGTAAGTTTCAAGACATGAGATACCTACAATCCATCTTTTAGCAATACTTCCTTGCAATGGGCATAATATGTTTATTAAACATAATACATGTTTAGTTGGACAGTGAGATGTGCTCTAAAAAATATCAGTTTATTCTTGTTATGCCTCAATTTTAACATTATCCTTCTCTAAAGCAGCACTTAACTGAAATGTGTTGCACTTATTTATACCACTGAGATTCTAAATCAAACATTTTGAAATAGTTCCTTGTCCTAATTCTCATTTAGTTTTCCTGTTGCAAAATTTTACCACCTAGATGCCTATCCAAAAGGATTAATTCTAAGAGATTACACAAATAAAGACAAACCACTGAGTACAGGTGAATCAGTAAGGAATATGTAACAAATCACTACACTACATTGCTTGTAGTATATTCAGCTTTTGTATTAATAATGTTCAATAATAATTAAATAATATTCGACTTTTGTATTAATCCCCATCTGGAATGTCTGCTTTATTAAGGAATACAATCCAACACTGAAATTAAAACCTGATGGTGGAAGGGAGAGCTAGCCAGGAGACACTAATCAGAAGATGAGGAAAGTTCACTCATGAAACACCAAAGGCATACCTGCACAGAGTTCACGGCCTATGTGCAGGCTGGGAGAACCTCAAAACAAATTAGCATCCTCTGTCAGCTACTAAGAATTATGTCCACATAACTAGAGTAATCTCAGGCTTGCAAAAGTAAATATTAGGAACAATAAGACAACACTATGTACGTTTAACCTTCAATAGTCTCTCTGTTCAGGAAGGGCAAACTCTTGTGCATGTTTCCAAAGAATAAACCATATTACTTTTTCAAAAGGTGAGATGCATCACTGATGTGAGTGGCAGCTTACTAAAAAAAGATACAGTTTTGTTTACTCAGAGGTGTACTATACAAACCTCTCTCTGTATGCCTACATTTGATTCTAATACCTTGCAAATTCATTCACTACAATTCAATCTGAAAACTAAATTCTAAAGCTTCATCGCAACTAACACTGTGTTGGAGAAGCATGAACAAAATTGTCTGGAAGCGAGCAAAGTCATAGATAAATAACTCCAAACCTCTGCTCTCATGGTTAGCAGTGAAGACAGGGAAATATTTGAAAATTACCATGGCTTTTACATATAAACTAGAACAAAAAATTAGTTAATTCTGGGTAAACCTTAGCAGAATTAAGGCTGTGATGACACAGGGATGAACTATGCATCTCTGCCTGAAAAGATTTCAGGGGAAATAATATCAGTAAGAAAACAAATATATGCCTCAAAAGACACACTACGCATCTACAGCATTATTTTACACATTTTGTGACAGTAAGAGGACCCAGGGATCTTCTCATCACAAGGAGAGATAGCCACGATCTTGCAAGTTTAATAGACACACACAAGTG